GGCAGATGTAAGAGTCTAGTGCAAAGACATAGATAACAGGTGACATGTCTGGGGGAGGGGTGTCTATTTTGGCAATAGCTTAGCCTTTTCAGAACAGTTTCTGGTTTTTTTTAGGTTGATCGATGAGTAAAAATGGAAAATCTTTAACCACGCCTGTCAGGACTAGTGGACTTTCTTTTTTGGGGGGAGGGGGGGGGGGAGGTTTTGTTGGACAGGTGTGAAGTCAAAATCCCCCAGAAGAGGCGATAGAAGGGAAGGGGGTGGAGTTAGGGGAACACATTTTGCAGGTTTTTAAGCAGCGGATGGACGACCCCACTGGTGTGGTGAAAGATTTGCAAAGAAGTGATAGGTTTGAGAATTTTGCTTTTAAATAACAAAATCAAATGACAAAAGGCAGCATTCATAGTGACCTGTGTTCTTTGGTACACAAATATAATTAGGACGACACATATCATGTTGGTGGTGGAGGAGGGGGGTGGGTCTAGTAAATGTTGGTTTGACCTGTGTTTGTAGGTGCAAAGTCATAAGTTGTAGATTAGCTTCTACAGAAAAACAGGCTGTGACAGAGAGAGGGAGAGGTGGGGTACGGAAAGGTTGCTGTTACCTGTATCCTCAGGTGCAAAGTCATTAGTTGTAGATTAGTGATGACGGTTGAACGGTTCATGGGTGGGGGTGTAGGGGGGGTAAATTTGTTTGGTGATGGGGAGAAGGCTGTTGAATTTATACTGGAAAGTTCTGTACTGACTTAGGGGTTGGAAACTGAATGTTTTTGGTTGATAGAAGATAAACAGAATATTACCCACCAAAATGTTTATAAATATGCATTATTTTCCCTTTGGATCACTGCCTTATGTCACAGTAATAGTGATGAATAAAATGAAGCAGGGGAAGGGCAGAATTGATTCGCTCTACCCACAGATTCCTTAAGGACTGTCAGAACAGTTTGATGACGTCCTCAAGTCATCGGTGCTGCCACCGTTGACGTTGACACCTAGCTGTGTGACAGCTTATGAAATGTGACACCAGGGGGGAGGGGGGACGCTGACACCCAGACATTTTCTGCACAGTTGGCCATTACATTGATGAATATCCGTTTTGAAAGCCGAAACTTGTTACATCTTTTTTTTTCCTCCAGAATGGGGGTTGAAATGGAATACCTTGGCACAATTATGAATGCGTGGTGGCAGGCCTCGGGATATAGTCTACATGTCTAATTCTTAAATGCTTGGTGGCAGACGAAGTCAACATTATAAATTTTAGAATAATTCCCACCTTTACTGGCCTGATGGATGTGCCTGATGATTATAAATACATAAGGAAAGTTAACAACCCCCTCCCTCCCCCCACCTTCCCGGGTTCATCCTTGAGTCCATTCTTGCTACAAGAGCTTTGCATGAACGGAGTGGCCGCTTCAGGATTCGCACCACGCCACACCCAATTTTGTGCCGCTCTCGTTTATTCTGTTATTCAAGATAAATTCTGCTACCCATCCCAGGCCATTTACGAGTGTTAAACGAGGTGGGTTTTCCCTCCTCTCCTAAGAAACCAGGCTCCTGAAAAAAATGAACTACTTCCCAAATTCATATAACTTGCCCCCCCCCCCCCAATCCCCTCTCTCCTCTTTCATCACCACGACTATCTCTACAAAAGATTATATGTAACTGACTGTTGTACAAGATAGTTACACCATTAACAGGTGCTCGCTTGCTCATCATTTCTTTTTTGACAGGGAGAATGGATGATTTACTTCCACATTATGCAACACATGATCTATGAAGTAAATCGGGCTCTGCACTCGTGTTGTCTGTATGACGGCTAATTATTAAGTGCCATCTCGGTATATTGGTTCAGACGAAGTGTGTAATCTCTCTCTCCCCCTTTTACGTGGTCAGCATTTTTATGCTACTGTAGTTAATTTGATACTTAGGCATACCACATCACTGTACACCTGTCATACCTTTATGATTTTGTGTTGAAATATGTCACATGTCCGTGGTTTCCTTACTAGTGGGATGGGTTAGATGGGAACTTTAAATTTTGGTGCTTGTAGATGTAGTCTGAGACAGTAAATACTGCTTCGGGCCTTGGGGGGGGGGGGGGGTAATTTCTTAATGAATTTTTTTTTTTTTTTTACAAAAAAAAAAGGTAAATAGCTCGTCAATAATTTTAGCAAATTGTTCACAACCATTTTTAATGAAAAAAACGTCATATCATTTATATATTTGATTTAGACACGAGGTAAAATTGTAAAACATGAAAAATATGGTAATTTACTTAAAAGCTGGGTATTTTACAATTGACGCTTTGTTTTAAGATTTATTTTTTTAAAAAAGTGTACTACAGATATGTGAGGAATAATGTAAATAGATATTGCTGTAAATAGTTGTGGTCATAGTAATGTTTTTAATCATGCAGAGGAAAAATCCTGGTCTATGAGTATAATATATGTAGTTTTAATGGTTGAATTTATTTGTTAGCGACGATCGTGTATTTTAGTGTCATTTCTGTATGACATTTTTATATTTTTCATAAGGCGGATACCCTTTACATTATGAAAATTATTTTTAAAACAGCGGTGCCTTTCTTTTTTAAAATGGATGGTTGGATTAGCTCATATGCAAGACACGAAAGTCCAAAATACACAAATTTGTAATTAAACCTGTATAATCACTGAACCATCTTAGTTTTTTCTTTGTTCGTACTCTGTGTACAAGTCATTTTGAAAATGGGTTCCGATGACACTGATGGGACCCCTACAGGGTTGCCTACATACTAACTCGCATAATAGTGACCTTACCTGTCCATTTTCAATGGAATAACGTTCCAATACTTAGAGATTTCATGGTCACAATTTCGCGAAAAGCTGTCGAAATATCAAGTGCACAAACATCCTATTTTGCTTGATAACTCGCAAAGAAAGTTTTTGAAAAAGATAATGCCCTCTGAAGTTATAAACGTTAAAAAATATCTCTGTTACGTCAATTGATTCTAAGGCAGACCTCGGCTGGTCACGTGACAGACGGCACAATGAGTTCGTTGCGTTTACAAAAATTTGCATTGCAACCCGGATTCGTTCAATATGCGCGAAAATATTATATTTGAACAGCTAACTGCAACTTCCAGCGTACATCTTTAGAAAAATCACGTCTCAGTAAAACAGTCATTTCATATATAAGAAATACCGAGTCGTAGAACAGCAAAATACGGGATAATTTAGAAGAAACACGTATAAATACAGTAATTTAATTTTAATCTTCCCCAACGCCCCACAATGATTATTAAACCAATTAAATCATATTCTCTCCCCGCCTTAATTTTATTGGTTGTTCGCCTCCGGGTAGCTTAGCTTCCTTCAAATTACTGCGATTAAAATTTAATCACTATCCACGTCTCGTATTGATTATTACACCAATTATATGATCATCTCTCCCCGCCTTAATATCATCGAGATTGCCTTGGGGAAGGTGGGAGGGGGGAGGAGGGGTTCGCTTCCTTCCAATTAAAGTCCTTACTGCTTTGTGATGTGATTTCTTGAAGCCCAGTAGCGAGTTTCATGTCGGTTCAATCACACCTCGGGCAATCAATCCGCGCTGGTTTGTCAGCGGCGGCGTAATTGACAAAGTTTTACAGGGCCCTCAGTTAGATCAGGTTTATCTTTCCTGACAAGGCCGGATTTATTAGGGTATGCAAGTACACCTTTTTCCATCAACATTTTGAACTCGGGCCATAAATCTGAGTATCTGATAGGCTTATGAAGTTGAAATCCACTCGTGAATATTGGATTAACATTGGCAAAGAAGGAAAATTTATGTCCACAAATACTTCACCATTCCTATCAACAGTAAATAGGGTTTCCTCATGGAGATTACTGCAGCATCATACCTCCGTCTCTTCATGGGAACCTCCATTCCCGTAATTAAATTTACCAGGTGTTATTTTTCAGAAATTATTAAACGGGGCTGTTGAAATATTAAAGGTGTTGAAAAATAAAAGTCCAGGGGAGATGGCGGGGTGTGTGTGCTCCGCGGCATCATCCAATGACCCCCTCAAAGGCACGCTGTTAATTTACTGCAAAAATGTCCAGCATATGTTCGGGCGATGTAAAGGCGAATTACAACAAGTGTCGGGGATAGAGTCGTCAATTTTGAGCCACTGTGTGCAGCCAAGAGTGAAATGCAGTAGGAAATGGTTTCCTGAGTTGGCATTTGAAGACGTGTGTTCACTTCAAACAACAGAATAGTCCTGATGTCCGCATACGATTACTTCAGTAACTTCAGGAACCTTTTGAAATGTAGGGAGGGGTGCGTCTTTCTTTTTTCTTCCTTTGTTTTGTTTCTTTCTTTGTTTTGTTTTTTGTTTGTTTGTTTGTTTGTTTGTTTGTTTGTTTGTTTGTTTCTTTCTTTCTTTCCTTCATTGTCATATTGTCCACTTATCTTCCCAAAATCTCAATTTTTTTCGGATTAAAGGTTAAACTAAAATTAAAATGTTATAAAAAGTTGTAAATAATAATATTTAATGACAAAATCCATAATTAAGAGTTGATGCTTATGAGCCTCTCAGAAATGAAGTATTTTGTCTTATTCCCAAAGTGGCCGCATTCAACAAATAAATATATTTTTAAATAATTGCGAACTGAAACCACCAAAGAGATATCTTTTGCACTTCTTGTGTTCAGCCACGCCTATGGTGGGTGTAAAAAGACACATGGAACTAACATATTTTTACTGTGAAGTATGTAAGAACTATGTCATTCAATATTCTTTTCAAGGACGCTGAAAATTGTTAAAATTTGAATGGAGATTGAGACCACAAGTGGGAAATGTTTGTATGACAGATTTGTAATAAGACGTTTCACTCGTAGGTTGTTTTACAGGGCGTAGCTATTTAAGCAATGCAATTTAAATACGATAATTCTTGTTTCGATTTTTCCAGCTTGTTTTGTGATACTGCTGTTTAGCCCACTTGCTGACCGCTATCTTTGTACTGATAAACTGTACCTGAAGAAAAACGTATTTTCATGAAATATAGTACATATTAGATGCCACCAAGTGCACTTGATTTACAATAAAGTTTTTAAAAAAATATCAGAAAATTTAAATCGCAACTTAATCATTAACAAGATTTAACAAGATTTTTCGATTTATGTGTATAACTGCATCTCAAATTATTCGAACATAAGGACTATGCAAATACTTTATACAGGCATAGAATGTAACGGTGAAACTTTGATTCTATACCGATCTTCTGATGACTAAAACCGTTGTACTAAGTAGCGCACCTATAAAGCTTAAGCCAATTTTCCTCATTCCTAAACCTCACTATCTCAGATGAACACCGCAAAAATATTGACTATCGCTGGAAAGATAACTTGTAAGCCAAACCCCTGACCACTTCGGACACCCTTGACCTTTATAGCCAAAAGATCAAGGTGTCAAATCTGTGAAGTTCTGGGGAGCTGACTCAGGTATCTGTTACAACGGACTCTACCTTGGTCTCTGTATCCTTTAGAATACCAAGCTACATTACCGGGATGTCTGGAGTGATCTTCGTGGACGCGGACCGCTGGTTTATCTACTTACATCTGTTGTGATATCATAATTTACATAATAAGGAACTCGCTGAACCACCCTCAAATCTGAGAATCAAGAAATCTGGATATTTTAGAGGTTGCTGCAGTTTGTAGAAATCAACCATATGGATGAAATTCATCATTTCGCATTTCTACATCAGTTACACAAACTTGAATAATCAAGTGTAACTGCTGAATAATTCAGTCGAATAGAAAAAAGAACAGATTATAATTACATAAAAGAATGGCTGGAATAGATTGAAAAGATGACATAATTGGTTTTTGGTTTGAATTGAATTTCTCTCTCTCTTTTTTCAAAATACCGCTAGTTCGAAAACGATCGTTGGGTGTACGGTTCAGTAAATAATATATTCTAGTCTGTTGTTATATCTTTATCATTGTTAATAAAAGACATCCCCAAACAAATGTTTTAACTGCTCAAAATTGAATTCAATTTTGAAAGGCTTAACATAAATTTTTGTCATTGAAGGAATGATACTATTTATTTCAATATGTGTGAAACAATGTATAAGTTTTTCTTAGTACAGCTGTATGATATGAAATTCAGCGAGAGGCCCGCAACTTTAAAACACACGAATTCAAAGCTCTCCACACATCAGATACACCCCTTCATAGTTTTTTTCTGTTTTCCTTTCTTTATGTTAATGGCATCACAATGTTTAGTTTATTTAAATACCACCATCATTTGACTGACCCCAAAACTGTTTTTGTACCCTTGAAGACTTCGTGTATTTATTTGATTGATTAGAATGATTAGGCCTACATCGGTGTTGACGTATACCAAAATGTAAATTGAATATATTTAAGCCCAATTCATTCAGGAATGTATGATATTACCATTTTTCCTAAGCTGATCTAAAATTCTCTTTAATTTGCCGATTGTTTTTTTTTTTTTTTTTTTTTTTAAGAATTTCAAGACGACTTATACATAGTGATACCTTAAACATGATGGGCAAAAATTAACGAAAAACTTAGCATATTGTTTCTGTACCTCGTTACTTTTTTCTGAATTTCTCTGATTTTTGAATTTTATTGTCAGTTAAGATTTAGCTCGGATTGTAATGGAATATATGTAATTAATTAATACAAGTAAAAAAGCTTGATCAGTTATATTGATTGCTGTTTTTACAACTTCAAATAGTTACAAAACTGTATCACCAGAGCGTTACAACTTGTCATATATAGGCTATAAACCTGAAAAAATATGATTTCTGGTTTCTGGAGTTTTAATATCTAATTGCACTATTGTAATTTTTTTTTCAGATTTACCTGCTTCGGGTCCGCTATGCCGCATAAAATTATTAAATGAGAAATAGTGGTATCACGTGCACTGCATACTTTGCACTGAAGAGACCTTTTCTTTTCATGTAATTTCTAATCAAAATGCATTTTTTATTGCACGTGCTTATGAATTAATAACTGTTGCATCATATTTAAGAAAAGGGCATGTGTTGCAAAGAACACAACATTTTTGTCAATATTTTATAAGGTTTGATCGGCGCAAAACGCATCTAGGCTATTAGCTTATGTAAATACTTCTTACATTATTGAAAAAGAGTTTGAAATACTTATTTTGCTTTTGTTTCTCATGACGTTTTGATATTAAGGGAACTCTTCGTAACAGTTGACTTATATCATTTTATATTCGAATTGATGACAATAAAGCAGTTACAAAAGACTTATCATATGCCATATAATATTAAGAATTTAAGTCATGTTGTTTTGCTTGTTCCCTATTTCTCTTTCTAAGAATACAAACTAACAAACACAATTTAAAAAATATATGTTATCAAATGATAAAATTTAAACAAATAGTTTCATTGAAAAAAAAAAAAAAAAAAAAAAAACGGAAGACCACTGTCCCAGAAGTATGCTTTGACCAATATCTACGCGCATTGATGACCGCAATTTACTCTGGATGGTGCTTTGCAGAAATATCATTTACAAAAACATATCACTACAATAAAGGGAGAGACAATTATTAGGGCGTTAGAGATATATATGTACATGTACGATGCCACACAATACGACCTATTATTGTCAGAAATACTGTATTAAGGACCCATTTATACCTCAAATACGCTGACGTCAATACCCTTCTCCTCGTATTTGACACATAAATAAAATGATCACGCTTTTTTACATACATACAGTCATAATACAGTATTATCTACACCAACATATGTTGTTATTTTTGACACAACTTATATTTTCCTCGCCCCGATTCTCGCCACAAATCAGGCAAAATTACAAATACGGATATCATCACACATGCTCTAGATGTACCCCGAAGGAACTTGGGTGATTATTCTAGTGTCAAGTTTCTGACTTATTATAAAGCCATTTTGTCCCTTTTCTGTTTAATGACACCCTCTTGTGCCCTCCGGCACAGACTGAGCCCTGCTTTTAACTTTAAAAAAAGTTTTGTATGAAATTGTTTTGATGACAGATAATTCCCCTGGGAGATAAGTACAATTTTTCTTTTTTTTTCTGCGACTTTGATATTTGAGCGAAATAACATTAAAAACATGTAATTGGAAAATTTATGAAGGGTGTTTTCAAACGGGAGGTTGATGTGACAGTGCCTTATAAAGCGATATTAATTTCATATCTTCCCAACTTGTCCACGTCGATACATTTGGACTACTGTTTTGCAAAAAATATATCTTTAGCTGTAGAACGAAGCAATATTTCATATGAATGTAATATTCGAGTTATACACCCTGAAATGAAAAAAAGAGGGTTAAAATTCTGATTTTGCATTTAAAACAAAAACGGCGTTTAACATATTACAGCACAATTCTGGTACCGACACTGATAAGAGGTTGGACAGTATTCAAAGTAACGGTTTTCAGAGTAGACGGTAATCAAGAGTACTTTTTGAAATGCTTCACTTTAAATTTTTGTACTTTTAATTGCAGCTGAAACGCTGCTTACCGTATAACGTACAAGTGCCACCTGAACACATTGTTTCCTGAGATCACTGAGTACTCGAAATATTATATAATATTCATCTGTTCAAATAAACTTCATAATCGTTCATTTCCAAGAAATCGGTTAATGGATGCGTTATGGATCGTTTCAATCTGGTTCCTGCGTTCATTGACAATGACACCTCTACACGTAACTTTATTTATTCATATATTTTTTTGTGTGTATTTCGTTCTAATTTGCACAGCGACAGCGTTTACGGCTTTGGCAGCACCTGAATTGTAAGTCGTTCGTGCAACTGTTGATTACTCATTTATTGAGAACAGTGGATGAAATTAAAACAGATGGAGAAAGAACTAACAAAAAGGTAATCTGGTGCAAGCTAGGCTTTATTATAGCTTTTATTCTTGTAAATGATGATGAGAAAAGAGAAAATGGGAGTTGAACAATATTTTTACACAACAAAAGTACGTTGCTACTTACAACAGTGTCTAAGAATCTTGACATATCCGCCAAGAAATCTTTTGTAGCTTTTATTTTTCAAAATATCTTATTATGCACTTAGGTAAAATTGCACATAAAGCTAGGAAAACAATTAGAAAAGAACATGCGGTCACGTGATGTTTACGACGCTCACTGATTGGTCGGGCATATATATCGTCTGCAGCTATACTTCTGTTAGTTGCTGGGGGTATCAGAAAGTGATCCCCAAAGCTTGAGTCAAAAAATAAAAACACTGACTGATTTAAATATCCACTGTGATACATCTTAAACATGCACATAACAAATAACAAACAGAAAACATTGTTTCTAGGCCATTACTTATTCGTAAGTACAGGTAAATTGAACTTAAATATATTCTCATGGTCTAAAATAATATCAATTCTTGATAATATGTATAGGCCAATAGCCAACTTATTCTATTTGAAATTTAAAAGCCAGATACACAAGAACTTAAATAAAACCAGTAAACGGTTCTGCTCCATGAATTTGCCTACATTAAACAAATATCTTAGAGGTAGATAGTATTTTTTCCTATTTCTATATGGAATGAAAAATAAAACATTATTAAATAAATTGATAATTATAAAATGATAAATAAAAAGAGCAATGGAAATTCCCAAACTGATCATACAGGGAAAGTAAAACTTAAGACTGGCTTGCAAGGTAAAAAAAAAAAGTTAAAGAAAAAAAAAAAAAAAATTTAGATGATGCACAAAGGAGAGCCAGGACAGAACTGTATAACTACACCTTAATTGCTTGTTACTTGGAAAACACCAAGAAAATGCATTATGTTAATCTGAAGAGCAAACTGCAGAAGTCAGATAACTTTACAAAAATGCAGTTTTTGTCTACCAAATAATTTGTGATGAAATGTTGGTTATTCGGGGAATGAAAATAACAAAACTCTGATATCTAAGTGCCTGATGATGGTTATAAAATTATGTTCTTATTTACACATATGAAACATCTGTAGTATATTAAAACAGTCTATGCAAACCTACCAAAAACAGAAAAAAGACCCTTAAACCAGTTGGTGCTTCTCAAAACTAGTGGGTTCTTCACAAACTTATTACAAAATTGTCCAATTGACATACTTAACACCTAGAGGGGATTTCAGTTCTAAGCTGGCCAGGTAGCTCGCTCAGCGAGTCTTTTCCAGACATTAAAATTAAAAAGAGAGCCTTACTCAATTAAACACACATATGCACCATAGCATGTCTCCAGACTTTTATGGACAGCACCAAAGAAATATCATATTGCCGAATTTGTTGGGGACCAAACAGGTACCTCCCTTCATTTGCACCATTCTGTCACAGGAGCTTAATTAGACACCTTATATCCCTTGGCTTGCACCCCTCACACTCAGCACAACTTGGCTGATTATCTGTCTTAAATTCCCCCTAACGGTGTTGACAAGGAACACCAAAGGTAAGGCAACTGGCACCTTCACTGTCATGGATAATTTTGGCTGCATTTTGTTTTTTAAAAGTATAAAATGTGTCTTATTCTACACTATACAGTTACATATTTGAAAAAGATTTTTTTAACTACTAAGTACAGTTTCAATTCCCATTTCTTAATGATAGTGGTCTTAGTGTGGTTCTAATTTGTTAATTGAGTTACACATTTAAATGTTTTTCAGTCAAATGCACCACCTGGCCTAAAAAGTACTACTGGCGTATAATTTTTGAATGGTGACTCTTTTTAATAATGAAACATATGTGCACTGTATGTGCTTCCATGTTGTATTTTAACATACACTATCTGTGTATAACAATTCTTCAGGTAAGTTAAAATGCCTAGGTATTAACATAAATATCACAACTCTTAGAAAATGGATAGTGCATTCCACTTATTAAGCTCCTCTCTCCTTCTAGAGATAAGTATTTCATCCACTTCTAAAAACAAGCAAAAAAAGAGTCAAAAACAAAGGTTTGTTTTTTTTTCACCTACATTCAATAAAATAAAAATTTCTAGTTACAAATCACTACAAATGTTTTTACAAAGCTTTGGTACTTATAAGAATCTCAACAAAACAAAAAAGCGTGGGCTCTCCGGGCCCCTGTAACTCCACTGTTCAGGACAACCATGTGACATTGACAGACGGAATTGTGCACCTTGTAAAAGCATTCATTCATTTATAAAGACTTACAATTGTGTAACAAAGATGCTGAGTCATCATGGCTGCTGCAAAAAGACAGAGCCTTGAGATTTACATGTTTCCATCTCTGCCTATGTTGCACCTGACAACAACATATAGTTATACACATAATCTATACCTTTCTATACACATTATCATAATTACTTTCCATTATATCATTCCTATTCAACAATATCAGTATTAAACTGTAAGTTTTGCAGAGGACAGTAGTTTATTTGGTTTGTCTATCTTGAAGAGTGGAATAAAACTCTCCAAGTGTTGCATACGTGCATTCAATACACGACGTCAGTTTTACAGTAAGTTACATCCCTCACGGTTTGATAACTACATGGATATAGTCTTAGGACTTAAACACGGCATTAGCTGGCGCTGTTGGTGCTGGATCACCTGGTCGTGCATTATGTGTGTAGTAATAGGACGGATCTAGAAGGGAGAAGAAGAAAAAAATTTTAATGTAGGTCAATTGAAAAATAATATTGAGTAACAGTCAGAATAATATGCCATCCTATAGATCTTTCAATGCACTGATAATAATTTGGTGAGCTGCACAGCAACCTTGCAAACAGAACCTATTTTCAAGATAATGTTCAAAATTTTACTTGAATTATATGAATATATCATTATCAGTTCCAAAGAACTATGACACAATAACAATTTGAAAACCATGATGAAAATGTACATTTAGACTTTTTATTACACAACCTTTATTTCTGTCATCAGTGAACAGCCAGAATTTTTAGAGGTAATAGAAAAAATTTCCAAAAATGTTGTTTATTGACTGAGAGGATGGAATTAGCAAATTGCTTTGAAAACCCACCATAAATCATTGTACAGGCTCAATCAAAACCCTGTACAAATCCAATAAATACATCAGTTATTTCTACTAAAAGGGCGGATTTTTCACCGACTTGGAGGACAGGTAATTAAGCCAAAAATTCCAGTTTCTCCATTTTTGGAATGCCAACACTGACAGAGAATTTTTTCCGGGCAATAAATCATTTGAAAATGGAAAGAGTAAAAATGAAAAGAACATGTGTAAGTATCTGAAGTTCACTCTTTGCATACTAATGCTATCGCAGTCTGCAGATAATGGCAATTAACAGATGAAAGGTTGCCATCATGTATTTTTGATATTCCCTTCTAGCAATTCCTCGCCAGACCTTTTTATCTGATATTTGTTTAGTCTCTGACTCTGTTATAGATTAAAGTTGACACTGGCAAACAAAAATCCTTTGTGCATGTCTTTGATTGTGTGATTTAATTCCAAAGAATGTGGTAATGTAACTCCTAACCCTCCCTCTCTTCCAAAAAAGAGAAATAGAAAAAAAAACACTTAATACAAAGAAATATGTGTTGTGTAACTAATGCAAATAAAAAACAAAACAAAACAAAACAAAAGACAAAATAGTTAAAGATCAAACACGCAGTAGTGACTGTCATTAGGAAAGACTACTGGCACGCCTTTAATTGATTTGAATTCCAAGAAAGCAGATACTCCTGATATTTGGCATGTGTGAATTAAATGGACAGTATGGTACTAAAATGTGAAAACATGTTCTTTTTCTAAGGAAGTTAAAGTTCAAAATTTTTCTGATATGTAGGAAGTAAATAAAACTATTTTTAATTATTTTGACCATACAATTGATGCCTAAAATGACTGAATTACCACAGGTAAACAAATACAAAATCTATGTTCCCATAAAAATATAATAAAAATAAAATGAATTAAAACCTCATTCAGATCAACTAAATATAAATGAAAAAACTAACTGAAGTTTTTTTTGGTTATTCGTGATAAATTTGAGCATTTGCCCATCTTGCACTGTCCAAAAAAATTTACAATTTACAAAATAATGGAGAGAGACCAATTACTGAAACTGAGTTCCTCAGATCATGATAAATAAAAGAATAAAAACACTTACTCATCCCATATCGCATTGTCCATGTTGGGTCTGGGTACCCTGCAGTGTATTGAGAGTAAGCTGTCGGGTATGAGGGATATTCACTGCCTGGTGACATGAAAAATAAATGTTTCAGTTTCAATTCAGTTATGAAATTACAATAATTATCAACTTGTATGCTTTTAGTTAATTCAGTACATTTTTTTTTCTAAGTGCTAAAACAAGATGTCAAGAGATTTAAGAACATCTAAGTGTTGACAATTTAAAATATCTCATTGTACATTTATTAGATTTTTAAAAAATTATCTATTTCATTTTTTTTGTCCTACACTTGTTTCATTTGATTATTCCTTGAGAAAAATTATATCATTCCAATGCAACACAAAGAAAGAATACAAGTTATACACATACAAAGTACTAACAGCTGTACTAGCTAGCTGACCTTTTCAGACAAATATGGCTGAATCTGACCAAATTCTGTTAATAGTTAGAGTTTGTATTCAAAATCAATATGACCTTGATATCTTGTATAACAAGAAATATACTTAGATTTTGAGTCACATAATTGTCACAACTTTGCAATAGAGGTCAGCACTGTCGAATAATGCTAATGTTGTAGAATAATGAGGGACCGGATAATAGTAACAAATGCAAATTAATTAAGCAAACAAACAAATCACTAAATAATAGACAAAATTAAAATGAAAATACAAAAAAGGGTTGACAGTGTTTTTAATATGACAGGATATTATATTCCAAATTATTTACCTTCACCACTGACTGCCATATCTCCATTTTAACAAGAGTGTTATTAAGATATTAAATGCAGCACTTGATATTACATAAATAATAACCAATAACATCCTCCATGTCCTTCAAATAATGAAATTAAGTAGCATTAATTAACATTCGATCATGCTAAAGGTAACATAAGTCCATTAAGCTAATGCCTCCTGAATCATTAAAAATATGCCATAATGTCCATCTTTTTGTTAATGACCACTTCTAAGTAGCCTAATCATTATGAGGTCTTCCGGGACAAGTCTAACATTTAACCCAGAGCAAAGAGCACTGTTTAAGACTCTTAATATGCCAGGGGAGTTTTGTACCAAGAGATATCAGCCGCTAGGTTGGTCTACGGGGACCACGGCACTGGAAGCAAGACAATGCTGTTGCTCTCTCATTAATCAAAGCACAGTTAATGAAGTGTGGGAAAATCTTAATTTTCTTTTCTCCTTTCTTATCCCTTGTCTTGTGAACTATATTAATTCACATAAAATCATGTCACAATCATAAGTCTAGAATGACCTGGAAAGGTCATAGGAAGATGCCTCTATTAGGGATTAACATCAAAATCCACGTATTTGTAAGCGAATTCATTTAGTTATTTGGTAATTCATTTTGTTTGTATAGACATCTGTACACACATTATCACTTTGGGACATTAACGAAATGGGAATATTGTGTGACACAACATATCTGCCTCGCAGACATCCTGATAGAAACATTTATTGGAATGCAAGCACTCAATAGCCAAAAAAGTTGTAAAGCGCTATTATAATTCTGTTCCTCTCTTGAGCTAAATATAGCCCCAAGTACAGTATAGCTGTTGTGAGGGCGCATTTTGTAATGGCAAACATCATGTTAACGAAAAGACACTGCAGTCAGGTTTGTACAGTGTTGCTTTTGTTAAGCTACATAACATCTATTACACACTGAATGATTTACATAAAACATTCTCCAAGCCAAAGGTGATTCCAAACAATTAGTTATATGTGTCTTTACTGTGCAGGCAATTATTGAGCCACTTGTAGTTTTTAAAGGTAAGATTTTAACTATTTTCTTAATCTATATTTTTTATTACATTTGTATTAAAAGACCCTTTTAATCTAAAAAAACAGTACCATTTGGTATTTCAGCTGTTTGTTGCATAAAATGCAAGAGGACAAACCATCTCTTAGTAAAAAAACTAACCTTGTTCAAACTTCTCATTACATCAGAAGTTGCAATAAATCATTGTGTTATGTGGTATCCAACAACATCTTTCCTCCAGCTCCAGGTTTAGAGAATGTTTAGTTTCATATTGCTTGGAAGTGACGTGGTGTCAGCTTCTCCTAACCTTAATAACCTAGATACCATCAGTGTTGTGCAGATTCAGTATGGGCAAGGGATGGAGGGAGGGTAGAAACCATGTAATCACAAATATAAAATTTTCAAAAAAAAAAAATAAATAAATAAATAAAAATAAAATAAAAATAAAAATATATAAATAAATAATGAAAACTAAGTTGTTGATTTTAAAGAATGTTGGTCTCTTTTTATTCTCTACAATAAATTAGAACTGTGCCATTTAGATTTAGAATCCAAATCTTATAATCAATGCAGGGATGAATGAAGGAGAGTAGCACAAATGTCAAACTTTCAAACAAGAAAAAAAAAAGATGAAAACCTCAATTACTGTTGATTTAAAAGAATTTTGCCATGTAGATTTAGAATTAGTTAGAACTAGACCTAGAATACCAGTCTTAAAATCAATGCTTTTGAAATATCAGACCAAGCCCAACAACATAAGTATAACAGGCAATTTTTTTAAAATTTCAATAATTTTAATAATTTTTAAAAATTTGATTTATGAGCCCAAGCTGAGGCAAAGATTATTATTTACAACGAATAGTGTGCATGGTTAGAAATTTGAGTATTAAAAGGGCGGCTTTACTTTTTTCCATCTAAGCTTATAAGGAACTTAACCTGTTACCATATCTCCCCATTACTGATTAATAATTGCCTGCCTTTAATACCCATTACCTCAAGTCCTTTTTCCTTCTTTTTTAATAAGAAATTTGAAACAACATGAAAGTTGTCTGTTCAACGTAATCAAGCAAATCTGTTTGTAAATTTTGCCAAATAATGAACTTTTCCATTACCTCTTTTATTTGTCGTTTGCTTTGAAATCTGTTTCCAAAATTAACTTTTTTGAAAAGACGGTGTCATATAAAGATCTTCATGAATTCTCCATAGGTGATATTTTCATGCATGACTTATATTGATTATTGTAGTGGAGCCAGAACGTATTTGGAAACAGTTAACCAAGCGTCTTTGCCAAACAAACTTATGCCAACATCTAGCAAGTCTCTGAAACTTGTGGTGCCATTTCTCCTAACATATAAGAATCAAAATAACCTTTAGACTTCAGAGCTCATATATCTCAAAACTGGCTTCAGAAACCAATTCAGTGTGCTCACATATATCCTAAAACAAACGTTGAAGATAACCCCTCCCCAACCATCCTTTACTGAATGCCTTTCCCGTCTTTCCAGTACCTTGAGAAATGAAAATGAAAGTGCTTGCATTATGAATAAAACAACAGCATTTACATCTGTAAACCCAGAGTGCCAGAGTGCACAAAATGGTCATTTATAAGAAATCTGTGAAAAAAATGATTTATTAAATGGTCTGTGGGATTTGCAGCTCAGCTATGGAGCGATATGAAAAGCACTAGAAAATTGCTGAACACCTCTTGAAATTTGTTAGTGTATTTTTCTCTCTGTGCTCTGCCTGAAACCATGCAGACTATTCCCTTAACAGTGGCATATACCCTCCCCTATGGTATTCAAAGCAGAGACTCAGGGTGTCTGAAAGTGACACTAATGCCCAGTGTTCCACAACTGATTTTGCCACCACAGCCCATTGATTCTGCTCCTAGCAGCGCAGAACACACAATAACAGACAGCCTTCCCCATTTAATGTTACTATATGATGCACTCTAGTAAGCAAAGACCTAGTCAAAGCACTCCATCTTTAGACTTGTGAATGAGATCTGGTTCAGCTTGACTACCACACTGTAACCGAAAAAATTCCTATTAGCTATATTAGCCCCTGCAGAGAACAGGGTAATGTACTGGCAGATGAAAATACATATTACCCACTAAGTTTGTTATACTTTTTATCCTATCCAAGAACGGCCAGTCATGTAAGAATGATGATCTTCATTACTGAGATCACCAGGGAATGCTTCTGACTTCTAACTGTCTGGGCTGACTCACGAGTGGTTAATTCCTATGTGGGTTTTAGGCTTAATTATACATTTGCTTTTCACCATTTGTCTTCCATGAGATCCCACAGTGTAGAAAACAAGTGATTGAAACTTTTTCATTTTTTTTTCAAAGGAAAGTGATAAAAAATGGTTCAAATTCAAATTGATAACATATATAGAAAGAGTACTTTCCAAAAGAACGAAAAATATTCACACCTTTGAAAATTAGAGAAAAAAAATGGTATAAATAAAACGAGTTCTGCCTCCAACTGAGATCTGACCCAGCCATGACCTTGCGAATTAAAGACGTTTTTTTTTTTTTTTTTTTTTTTTTTTTTGTAAATTTTACCTTTGCATATCTTTTTCAAGCTAAGCCACTTAAATTTGTTCCTTAAACTCTCCGCAGCAATTACTGCTTTGCCAAACATTCCTTCGTCATTTTTATAAACCACCAGCACAAAGGAAAAATAACTGCTCCATTAGAATGCCTATTCTTCTTCTGGACAGTTGCTTTATTCTGGCTTTAGGAAAAATGCCTGCACTATGAATGGCACAGGAGCAGACGGCACAGGTGTATTTGTAACCATACCTGTAAATTACTGGCACTGTGGCAGAAGCAGACCACACAGTTTGACAAACAGTTTACTGTTTCCGATCAACGTTTTTTTTTTCTTCGCCCATCACAAGTCATATCATTGTATTCAAACAACTGTTCTTCTTATTGGTGGTTTCCAATGTGTTTTTTTTTCTTTTTGCAGTGATATGGTATGATATGGTATCAGTTTCAAAATATGGGTGGCATCAAAGAGGTATCTTTATTTTACAAATAACAGAACTATAGTGGGGAAAAATTGATGTAAAGGAAGCCAAAGACCACAAAGAAAAGGAGCCTCTCTTCCTCTCCCATCAACTGGTAGCAACTATACCCTTCATCCTTTATGATTAATTTTAAGAATGCCATGGAGGACAACATTAATATGTGAAGTGATTGTGTAATTCGCCTGCTCGAGCCCTTGATTCAACCTTAAAATCAGCTACATGGTGCAATCTTGAGTTAAATAAAAGAATGGGTTTA